ACAGAACAGATAAAGTAACAGTTTAAACAGTTTCTAACGGCTAAAAAAACACCAATATAACGGAGTCTAACGGCTAAAAAACCGCCAATATTTGCCCTAGCACCCTCTATTCCAGGGTTCTCCAATTCCGCCAATCCAATGATCGAACGAGGGTCACAGAATAGCCACTGGCTATAATCAGTAAAAGCTACATTTAACAAAGGAGCGGTACGAGACTAATAGATTTGAGTTTTGAAATTTTATAGATTCAAAACTCAACTGTTAACATTACCTTAGGATGCCGCATTTCAGTTATATCGGGTTGATTCAAGTATCGATTAGTCTTTAACGGTGGCTGCACTGTGTATTTGTCAGTGGTTCAACAATAGTTAGCTTTCTGTTGGCAGTCAATGTGTTTCCTTCGAAAACTTCGAGCAAACTGACTCTCAGCGCTATGAGAATTTGTCTTACAAAACGCTCTGGCTTTAGCTGCTCGTGTGTTGGTTCACGCTCATTTCCAATTGGCACACTTACATAACTTCCAAGACTTATGTGCAGAGCTTTAGGTTCTTGAACGGTCGGTTTTTTCTTTAATGGGAAAAAGCCGCTTTGAGAATTTGTCTTACAAATACGCTCTGGCTTTAGCTGTTCATGTGTTGGTTCACGCTCATTTCCAATTGGCACACTTACATAACTTCGAAAGCTTATGTGCAGAGCTTTAGGTTCTTGAACGGTCGGTTTTTTCTTTAATGGAAAAAAGCCGCTTTGAGAATTTGTCTTACAAATGCGCTCTGGCTTTAGCTGCTCATGTGTTGGTTCACGCTCATTTCCAATTGGCACACTTACATAACTTCCAAGACTTATGTGCAGACCTTTAGCAAGAGAAAATGAACTAAGAGAAGGAATCCCCCTGTATAGCCTTGTAACCATCATGTGCACAGTTTGATGCTATTTTTAAACCATTTGTTTTTCTGCACGCGCATTTAATGCGCGCGCTCTACGCTGTTTGCTTACGTTTGTGGGGTTTTTCCGTTATTTCGACTCTGCCCTGAATGTACACGTCGAAAGCTTGGCAAATACGACAGGAAATTGAAGTAGTAGTTTGGTTCAAGTTTCTGGAGTATTTTAACATTTATTTTCCAAAGCTTTTGACTTACATCGTCATCTTGAGGGCAGATTTAAACATTTGAACATAAGAAAAGCACAAGAAAACGTTACCAAACAGCGTAGAGCGCGCGCGTACTATGCGCGTGCAGAAAATCAAACGATCAAAATAAATGATATCATTGGATGATATTTTTTAGAATAGATCCTACAAATAGCAAAAAAGTGTGCACATGATGGGGCACGGGGATCCTATCTCTTAGTTCATAT